GCTGCTGTTAACAAGAGATCCTTGAGTGCAAGATCAATCATATCCAGCTCCCTGTTGATCAGTGTCCCTGTTGTCTCTCTCGCGAAGAAAATGTTTGCAATTGATCGATGGAAGTATCAGATAACTGGAATTCTGATCTGGTTGCTCTTGGTCCTAGATGAAGCAAACTTTTTCTCATTTCCAATTGTTTCCCAAAGAGCCAACAATTCATCTGTATCAATCCTTTGCCCAGTCCCTGTTCCATTAGGGAAACCAAACAAACCCTCCAACTCTCTGATGGTCAGGACATACTCGTGATCATGGATAGTGAAGGTGATGTATCCCAATCCTCCATCTGACTTTATGTCCGGATCATCCTCATAAAGATGTATGGCAAGCGTACAGAGGAACTGAATTGTCTCCTTGCATTTCGCGGACTAGTCATGAGGGAGCGGAGATGACAATGCTCGAACATATACTCGACATCACTCGAGATAGCCAGCTCATCCATCGTCTGCTGGCAAGGGTACCTCGTGCCCTAAAACTCATGCTGTTGAAACAGCTTGTAATACTCCCTCGAGGCTAACCACTTCTCTGTCTTCATCTTCTGCACTGACTTGCGAGCTGTGATAGGTGGATGCTCTTCGAGCTCATAATCACAGTCATCATCCTGCAGCTCCATTGGTTTCTTACCCAAAGACTTACTTGCTCTGCTTCTCACCTGAGAAGGACCAACACTAGACGCTCTCTGATATGCAGCTTTCTTCTTCTACATATGAACCTTCGACATAGACTGAGGAGATGCACGCTCTATAGGTTTACAACCATACTTCTCACGCATCTCATGCAACAAATCTCTTGACATATTGATACTGAAACGGTTGTAACTCAAAGCTAAATGTTAGCTTGTTAGTGTGCTAAAAATCAAGAAAAGTGAGCAAATACGAAAGAGGAATGCAAAGGTAAGTAACACTTATCGAGTTTGTCACGGTCACACTATGCAGTCGAGTGAACCTTGGTGAATTCGGTCGAGTGGATGAACTCGATCGAGTGAGAGGTGGTGAAACTCAAGCACGTCGAGTGAGCTGATACGTGTGAAGCTTGGTTAGCTCAAGTGAGGCTGCCGAGTGAATCGCGTGGGAGTGGAGTGAAGTATGTCGGGTGAGCTTAGCCGAGTGGGAGAAGGAGCGTGTCGATTGAGTGAAAGTAGAACTGATTCCTTCAAGTGGCTTCTACGGGCGAGAGAGATGGCGGCGTACCGAGTGGGAGCTCGAGTGATGAAGGTCGAGTGAGAGAGAGCAACAGAGTTGAGAATGGTTGAGTGAGCTTCGGTCGGCGAGGATGGATCGACTGAGCTTTGGTCTGCTGCTCTTGTAGCCGGTGATGTACTCCGGTCGAGTGAGCAACACGCGCCAAGTAAAAGAGGTGACGACGGTCGAGTGGTTTCCGTCGAGTGACTGCTATGGGAATCCGGTGAAGACAAGTCAAGTGATGGAGAGAAATTAGTCGGTGGGTTGAGTGAAGACCGGCGAGCACGAGAGAAGAGTTCGTTGGTGGTGAGATGGTCGAGTAAGGAGGTGGTGTGAGACGAGTTGGTCGAGTAGCTCTTCCGGACGAGTGCATCTCGCGTGGAGAATGAGTGAATTTGAGCTTGTTTCACCGGTCGAGTAAGCTGACGGTACCGAGTAGATCGAGTGAGATAGCAAATCGAGTGGTGGGGGAGTGAGTGGAGATGATTCAATGAGGAAATCAAATTGGGATGAGAGAATGATGAGAAAATAGAAAGTGATGAAAGAGTGTTGTGGTGAGGTCGATCGAGTGGTGGAGGGATGATGGGTGAGTGAAGATAGATAAAGTGTGGTTTGGGTGTGTCGAGTGAGATGTTTTCTTTTTTTAACTCACTTGACAAGATCACACTGAAATAATTATCTCCCACTCCATGTTTTTCACTTTGTCATACTCGATTCTCCATCCGCACGTTACTCTGTTTTGCATTACTCCATCTATCTGAAATCCTGACCAACAGTAAACCAAAAACAAAAATCAAAATTACAAAAAAAAATCCTAACCAATATGTACAGGGATACCTGTGGGACTTCCTCCCAAGTGAGCTTGTTTAAAGTCACTAAGCTTGACTGTTTATGCTTTTTAGGCTTTGGGAGGCTCATAGAGAGGCATGGAGGACCCCTCTAGTGTCTCTTGATCAGCTTGGTAACGCTTGACGCGTTGACCGTTCATAGTGAATTCGCTGCCATCCTTGTTCAGGAGAGTGATCGTACCGTATGGCAAAACATCCTTGATTTCAAATGGTCCAGACCATCTAGACTTGAGCTTTCCAGGAAGCAGCTTAAGTCTGGAATTGAACAGCAAGACGTGATCTCCAGCCTTAAGCTCCTTAACAACAATTCTCTTGTCATGGAAAGCTTTGGTTCTCTCCTTGTAGATTTTGGAACTTTCAAAAGCATCAAGTTTGATTTCCTCAAGTTCATGGATGTCAAGAACTCTCTTTGCCTGGGCTGCATCAATATCCAAGTTCAGAAGCTTGATAGCCCAAAGCGCCTTATACTCAATCTCCACAGGGAGATGACATGCTTTACAATACACCAACTGAAAAGGCGTCCTTCCTATTGGTGTCTTGAAAGCTGTTCTATACGCCCATAGAGTATCATCCAACTTGGTAGACCAATCTTTTTTCGAATCCCCAACAACTCTTGACAAGATTCCTTTTATCTGCTTGTTACCTCAACTTGTCTACAGGTCTGGGGATGGTAGGCTGTAGACACCTTATGCTTTACACCATATTTCTTTAACATGCTTTCAAAAACCTTGTTGATGAAATGTGTACCACCATCGCTGATCACTGCTCTCGCTACTCCATATCTGGGAAAGATGATGCTTTTGAACAGTTTCAGAACAACCTTGTGATCATTAGTGGGACTTGCAATGGCTTCAACCCATTTTGAAACATAATCAACTGCGACCAGAATGTAGACGTTGCCATTTGATGGAGGGTTGAACGGTCCCATGAAATCAATTCCCCAAACATCAAAAATTTCTACTTCCAAAATTGGGTTCTGAGGCATCTCATTCCTTCTGTTGATGTTACCCATCCTCTGGCAGGCGTCACACTTAGTGATAAAACTGTTTGTATCCTTGAACAACGTTAGCTACCACAGCCCTGCTTGCAGAACCTTCTGAACTGTCTTGGATGTAGCGAAGTGTCCTCCATATGCGGATCCATGATAGTGCTCGAGCACTCCCTGCACTTCCCCTTCTGCTATGCATCTCCTAAACAGCCCATCTGAACCCCTCTTGTACAAGTAAGGTTCATCCCAGAAGTAGTGGTGATATCTCTGAAAAAATTCTTTTTCCTATAAGGATCCATGTCTGCAGAATCTCTCCACAGACCTTGTAGTTCACCACATACCAAGGCATACTATCTGAATTGACTGCTAGACATTGAAGCTCCTTCATAGCCATTCCAGTTAGATGCATCTTCTTGCATATCTCGACGACCATAAGATGTTTTTCAGACATAGAGTCATCGATAGGGATTAGATCTTCTTTTCTCATTCTGGACAGGTGATCAGCAACGCCGTTCTCTATCCCCTTCTTGTCAACAATCTCCATATCAAACTCCTGCAGTAGAAGTATCCATCTCAGCAGTCTCGGTTTGGTATCCTTCTTGGAGTATATATGCCTAAGCGCAGCATGGTCTGTGTAGACTACCACTTTTGATCCCACCAAGTAACTTCTGAATTTCTCAAATGCAAAGACTACAGCCAAGAGCTCTTTCTCTGTTGTTGCATACCTCCCTTGTGTCTCCTCAAGGGTTCTGCTCGCATAGTAGATGACATGCAGTTTCTTCTCCATTCGCTGCCCCAACACAGCCCCTATTGCATAATCCGAGGCATCACACATTATCTCAAAAGGATGATCCCAGTCTGGAGCTTGGACTATTGGTGCTGAGACTAACGCTTCCTTGATCTTGTTGAAAGCTTTCAGACAGCTTTCATCAACTACAAACTCGACCTCCTCGCACAGCAGTCTTCTAAGGGGTCATGCAATTTTCGAGAAGTTCTTGATGAATCTTCTGTAAAACCCAGCATGCCCAAGGAAACTCCTTATATCCTTGACTGACTTGGGAGGCTGCAACTGTACCATGACCTCAATCTTTGCCTTATCAACCTCAATCCCCTTCTCTGATACCTTGTGTCCCAACACTATCCCTTCGTTCACCATGAAGTGGCACTTCTCCCAGTTGAGCACTAGGCTTGTCTCTTCACATCTTGCCAATACCCTACAGAGATTCAACAAACATGAGGAGAAGGAGGAGCCATACACGGAAAAATCATCCATGAATACCTCCCCCATCTCATCTATCAAATCCGAGAATATAGAGGTCATACACCTCTGAAATGTTGCAGGTGCATTACACAAACCAAAAGGCATGCGTCTGTAGGCAAATGTGCCATAGGGACAAGTGAAAGTAGTATTTTCCTGATCATTTGGGTGGATAGGGATTTGAAAAAATCAGCTATACCCATCAAGGAAACAGTAGTAGGGATGATTGGCTAATCGTTCTAACATTTGATCAATGAAAGGAAGAGAAAAATGATCTTTCCTAGATGCAGCATTCAGTTTTCTGTAATCAATGCACATCCTATGGCAAGTGATAGTCCTAGTGGGGATCAATTCATTTTTTCATTCTTTACCACTGTAATTCCCCCTTTCTTAGGTACACAATGTACTGGGGATACTCAAGTACTATCAAAGATAGGATAGATAACCCCAGACTCAGCCAATTCCTCAAAACGTTCTGAATCATCAGTTGCCTTGTAGGTATCCAGTAACGTTTCGTAGATCTTTGTCTCAGCATGAAGAAATCCATCTGATCCATTCTTTGTCAAGGCCGTCTTGAGATGATCGTCTTCAGCAAATTCTTCTAAAAGTTCATCAGCTAGCTGATCTATCTCCTCTATCCAGAACACCTTGCCATTGATTGTTGGTTTCTTCATGGACTATTTGATGTCAAAAGTCATCTTGAAGTCTTCTCCCAAGCATAGATCAGTTTTGCCTTTCTTAACATCAATGATGGCTCCTGCAGTGGCTAGGAATGGCCTCCCGAGAATCAAGGGATCCTTAGGCCTTTCATCCATTTCCAAGACAACGAAATCTGTAGGAACTTCAACAACACCAATCCTTATTGGTAAGTCTTCCAAGAGTCCATGCGAGAGCCTCACTGATCTGTCAGCTAGAATGAGAGATATGTTGCATGCTTTGTATCTTGTGATTCCTAAACGCTTAGCCACAAACAACGACATCAGCTGAAAGATAGGGGGCCTAGTGAGCAGGGTAGAGTGAAGGATCCATGATCCTTAAGCTTCAAGGGAGTGATCTTCTTCTGGATAATGGCAATGCATTCATGACTCAATATCACCATTCCCTGGACTTCTTTTGTTCTCTCCATAACCAAATCTTTGAGGAATTTCTGATAAGGCATTTTCACCAGTGCGAATGCATCCAGCAATGGCATTTTCAACTCAATCTCTCTCACTTTATTTTCAAATAGAGCCTTATACTTCTCAGCTTGCTGCTTTTTGAATCGTCCTGGAAATGGTAGAGGTGGTTTGTATGGTGGGGGAACGTATCTCGCAGGCTTATCCTTGGATGTTGCAGGTGTTTCAGCATGTTTCTCAGCAGGTTGAGGAGCTTCTTCAGGTACCACTTCTGATTCTTCCAAAGGAACAACCGGATCTTCATTCTGACATACATCCTACCCTTCCAAGTCTTCACTGTCCTCAGTGACTACAACGAGGTCCTTGTCTGGGAGGCAAGTTTTTATCGCTCCTCAGCGTGATGGCATGAGAAAACTCCTTAGGATTTTGAACAGCTTTTCCTGGGAGTTGGCCAGGCTTTGGGGCAGAAGTAGAAGCAATTTTGCCCTCCATATACTTGATCTTGGAATTCAGAGTCTCAATCTTCATGTTTAGATCATTGTATGAGCAGTCCAATCTCTGAGTCAGCTCAGCAAACTTCTTAGCATTGTTCATGGAGCCACTTGCTTGTCCCTGTAAGAGTTGCTGAAACATGTTTTTCATGTCATGGTCTGGTGCCTGAGGAGGCGGAGCGTGATGAGGTTGGAATCCTGGTGGTGGTCCTGCTGGAGGTTGGTAACCTTGCTGAAATTGTTGTTTAAGCACATAACCTTGGTTTTAGGGCACAAATGGTTTGTTCTGCCCCTGCTGCTGCTGTTGTGGAGGTGGATAAACCTGATCCTGGGGGTTTGCAAGATTGGTGCTCCAATAGGACAGATTGGGATTCTGCTTATAAGGATTGTATCCCTTATTGTATCCACCTTGGTTCTGGACATAACTTATCTGCTCAGATTGTTCTCCCTCCCCATTCAGAATCTGGAAAGGGTCGTCTTCAGAGACGAAATGGATGTTCCTCTGCTGGCTCATCAATAGCTTGTCCAACTTATCATTCACAGCTTTCATCTCCTTCTTGTACTTCTCATCAAGAACTGTGCTTGCCCTTATGGTTCTATCATAATTTTCATTGTAGTTGCCATCAGATTGGGATAGGTTCTCAACAAGCTCCCAACCTTCGTTGACGTCCTTGTTCAGAAAGTTGCCATTGCTGGCAGTGTCAAGCAACATACGGATCTTTGGGAGAACACCCCGGTAAAGAGTACTGAGGAGAGACTCCTTGGTGAAGCCATGGTGGGGGCACTGAGATTGATAACTTTTGAAGCGTTCCCAGGCTTCACAAAGCCTTTCTCTATTCTTTTGAGTGAACCCAGAGATCTCATTGCGCAGGCGTGCAGTTCTAGAGTTGGAGAAAAACTTGGCAAGAAACGACTGCTTGAATTGATTCCAGGAAGTGATAGATCCTAGAGGAAGAGTTTTTTTCCCATTGATGAGTTTTGTCACCAAGAGAGAATGGAAAGAGACGTAGCTTGAAACCGTCCTAACTGACCCCATTGATCGTGGTGAGACTGCAGAGACGATCAAACTCATCAAGGTGATCCAGGGGGTCTTCCCTAGGCAGACCATGAAATTTATTCTGCTGGACCATGGAGATCAGACAACTCTTGATCTCAAAGTTATTGTTCGGCACGGCTGGAGGCACTATATCCTGACGATGGCTATGGTTGCGTGGAGCATCACCAGCTCCAATTCGTGTAGGTGCCCGTGGTGGGGGTGGTGGTTGAATGTTTTCCATCTCCACTTGATCTTAGCAAGTCTGAAATCTCAAATGTAACAAACAAACACCCAAATGGCAGCGACGCCAAATTGATACTAGGATTTTTCTATCAATTACCCTAGAGTACTATCATGTCATTGCAGTACAATAGATATCAATCCAGTCAGGTGTGATGCTAGCAATCAAGATATATCATAAATGATTAAGTCAAGCAAGCATCAATGCTTTTTGGTTTTCAGTGATCCTAAGCAAACATGTTAAACATGCGATAAATGTAAGGCTGTAAAACATAAACTACCATGCATGAGCTAAAACATAACAATTATTGATACTGGCAAGAAAACAAAGCAGAACAAGTAAATAACAAGAGAATTAAACAGAAAGCACAAATGGATAGAAGATCCCGAGGATGAGGTTATTGATGTAGGTGGAGTATGCTAATCTACTTCGAGTGTTTATCAAACTGCAAACATTCTAATCCCTAGACAATGAACTTCTAATACTAGTCAATCCAATCTCTTGGTAGAAACTATCAAGTTTACAACACTTCCTAATCTCAATTCTCATTGATGAAACATGTAGTAAACATGCATAAAGAAACAGCTCATTAATGTCAATAAACATCTTAGACAACCAATCTCTTGGGCTAAGCATAAATCTCTGGCACTAGTTGGTTCAGACATTTCATCATATACCTTTCGGGTATGAAATGTCTATGACCCAGTTCCAATTGATCAGAGAAGAACTAGCTAATAAAACTCTAGTCCAGAAGGGAAACAAAACGAATCTAACATAAACTTTCTAGCAAACTAACATCCTCCACCTAATCTATCCCATCCTCAAGAACCCTAACACTACTCAGACGCAGAAATCATGTTAAACATCATGAAACATGAATCGTTCAAAACATGCATAATAATAAGGATGATAGGAAGAGTAACAACAATGATTTAAGAACTAGTTGCAAAATCTCAATAACTCTAAAGAAATATGAATTACAATTTTCTGGATTGTTTGGTGGCTAACAACAAAAACCTAATAAAAACTCGATCCCTTGGGCAAACCAAATGAGACCTATTTATAACAATGTTTGGGAAAACCTTAAAACATTAAACGACAACCTAAAAGCGGTTTAAAAGTTGTAATGGCCCTGTCGGTCGAGTGAGCGTGTCGAGTAACACTTAATTTCTTCTCTGCATCATTTCATACTCGACCATGTATCTCGAGTGAACGTGTCGAGTGATCTGTGAAATCATCAGCTACTTCTTTGCTTTGCTCGATCATGTCACTCGAGTGTGTGCATCGAGTGACAGGTGGTTCTGCTTCGCGTCCCTTCTGCTGCTCACTCGATCGTATGTGTCTGCTGCTCACTCGATTGTCGATGTATTTGCAATGTATCTTTGCTGCCTACTCGATCATCCTATTCGATCATGTCCATCGAGTGAATTATGTTCCTGCAACGCATCCTTGCTTCTCACTCGATCGTATGCATGTCGAGTAACGCTTGTTCCTCTGCTTCGCTCTGCATGTCTCCTAAGTACCTGAAACACTCTAAATATGCACAATGTATGCAAGATATGCATGATATGCATAAAACCTACCTAAGTATGTAAAACATGCAGAGAGGGATCAATATGATGTGAATCAACAAGTGAATGATGCTGAAAAGATGATGAATGCATGCTCAAAAAGTGATAAAATACAGACTTATCAAGGAGGTTGGTTGGTCAACCCATATGTGGTGTACATAGATGCGTCGAGAATGGGTCTCAGGTGTGTGTTAATGCAGCATAGTAAGGTGTTTACATAGGCTTTGAGGAAGCATAAGTGCAACTATCTTACTCATGACTTAGAGAAGGCGAGAGATCTTCAGAGACTGAAGTTGGTAATAAATTATTTTCTCGATATGGAGGCTTTGGTTAGTAAGATTATCACGTTAAGTTTGTGTGTTATTAACCATTGGTTTTGGAGGCCGCTAATGAGGGACATCTTCTTACTAGAGTGCGATTGGCTCATGTGAAGGATAAATGTTTGGTTAATGCTTTTAAGGATACTAGTTCGGAGTATTAAGTCTTTGCTAACAGGACAATCTTTTTTATGGGATTGAGGCGGGAGATCCTAAGCAAGGCGCACACTAGTATGTTTTATGTTCATCTAGGAGCGACTAAGATGTACTGGGATCTCAAGCGGTATTAAAACTAGGTCGAAATGAAGAAGGATGTCGCTAACTAGGTCGCAAAGTGCAAGTGCCAGTTAGTGAAGGAAGAGCATCAAATACCGAGCATGTTGTTGTAGAGTTTGCCTATTCACGAGAGGAAGTGGAATATGATCACGATTGATTTCGTGGTGAGATTGTCAGTTCCTCGTTTAAAGATGCTATTTCGGTTATTGTAGAACGGTTGACTAAGTATGCTCATATACTCGCCATTAAAATGACCGATAGAGTAGTAGTTTTCTCTAAGAAGTATGTGCATGATATGGTGAGGCTTCATAGAGTTCCAACCAGTATTATGTAAAACCCGGATTCAAAATTCACTTCTTCGTACTAGAAGGTTTCCAGAAGGAGTTGGGCACGAGTGTCCATTTGAGTTCAGCGTATCATCCTCAAACGGATGGACAATCCCGAGAAAACTATTCTAACACTCGAGGATTTTTTTAGGATACGTGTACTGAATTGGAATGGTCAATTGGTGGACCATTTGAATTTGGTAGAATTTTTCTTACAAAAATAATGGGAGTAGCTACAGTTATGTCGTGGAGCAAACTCTTTGCAGTGGAAGACAGTGGACGTGATATTTGGCTTGGCGTTAGTTTCTTGGTTGACGACCAAGAGAAGAAAGCCGTCGCGTGTTATGGAAAATGTATATACCAGGATAATAACCAACCAAGCTCTTATAAACTATTTAATTATAACACTAGGAGGGTAATAAATCCAATTAAATGGATTTTCGAGTAAAGACAGAGCTTACATGTCAGCTATTATTTGTTAGTTATGTTAAAAGTTTTAGAATTTTGGAATCACTAATAATCCACAAAAAATCAAGTTTTGGAGAGAAAATATAAAGAAAAAACTTGATGAATTCTTTGGCCATTTAATCGGACTTTTTGAATGATAAATTCTTTTTATTCCACATGTAAAATAAAATTTATGTGTCATCGTTCAAAGATTAAATTTTTGGATATCGTTTAAGTTTTGCCGAATTAATATTATGAGGAGGGGAAAAAAGTCTCACCCTTCCTCCAACTTGATCTTGAACTTTTAACAACTTCAATATAAACCAAATAAGAAGAGTTATGTAAAAACTTCAACAAGATATCCATATAACTTTTGACAAAAAAAAAACAAAAGATATCTATATATACACGAAAACACTAGGGAATAAGATTAAGAAAGAGAAACTTCACAAGAAAATCTTAGTCTTTGAATATTCAGTGGGTTACCATGTCGGAGCTTCCACGCGATTTGCTAGAAGAAATTATATGTTGTGTTCCAGCCACACCTCTTAAACGTCTTTGATCTTCTTGCAAACAATGGAACCGTTTGTTGAACGACAAGAAGTTTCTAAGGAAGCTCTTTGATAAAGTCGCTAAACATTATACGGTTCTCTCGCTAACACATGAGGCTAGGATTTATTTGCTGAACGTGAGGTTCCATAATGGATTTCCTAATTCTCTAGGGGTTATATGGGATAAACTTAGCTTAACTGATCAATCTACGCCACATATTCAAAATCTATAAGACGAGTAATGGCAGGCAACTTATGAGGCTTTGTATGGGTGGCCATGCAAGACACAGTTATGCTGGACCCAAGTGGGGGGGGGGGGGTGAGGAGCATATTTGGTGCGAGTTTTGCTCAGGAAACTACATAAAAGATCCAGATTTTGAAGCTGAACATCAGAAAGGCTCAAATTGGAAGAAAAGTTATGCTTGTAACATGCAAAAAGAGCTTGAGTTTGAGGTTGGAGTTAGAGAGTACCTCAAGATGGCTACAGTGTGAGTCCTTAGAGGGCCCTTACCGAGACTTTGTTGAGTACGAGTATATGGGTCCTTTCAGGATTGTAGAGCCGGAAGCCCAGTGGCGTATCGGTTGGAGTTACCCGAGTTTATGCACATGCATTTGACAAGATTTTCCATGTGTCAACGCTGAAGAAATGTTTGCATAAGGATGATTAGGTGTTGGATAAGATTCCTGCAAATCTGCACCCCAACTTGACTTTTGAGGTGAGACCAGTAAGGGTTCTCGAGAGGAGGATCAAGGAACTTTAGGGTAAGAAGATTATTTTGATGAGAGTTCGGTGCAACTGTTGATATATCATGTTTTTACGATTTTTACCATGATAGAAATGGTTTTTATAGAGTCTTTCTACGCTTTTTAGGATCTTCATGAGTCGTTTCAGGTTTAGGAGCATACGATCTGAGCGATCAGACTTGGAGACGATATATGAAACAGTGTCGATCGACACCACCTATCAGTGTTGATCGACACTTGGCAACATGATGAGAGAACTCGAGTTTTTCAAGTTAAAAATTTACAAAAGATGCCCAAGGTTTTCCCAAATTGGAACATTTGTCCCTCATTTGTTTCAAACATATTTAAGTACTTTTTAGGTTTTTTAAAACAATTATGCTTTTTCCTATTGGAAACTATTGAGAAATTGTGCTTGAGAGCGTTTGGGGAGAAAGATAAGAACCCCATATATAGAGAAGTTTTCGAAGACCCTTGTTTTTCTATTTTTATCTCAATACATATTATTCAGTTCATGATGCTTGTCTCTT